GACGGACCCCTAAATAAAGGGCCCAGAGGAGCCAAAAGAATTTCATCTATAACTCATTAATGATATCATCTAAATCAAAAGAATTTGATCAAAAGAGAGAAAGCATGATATCATTATGTTTTTACAAAGATCGTAGTCAAAATCATATCTCATCTTATCGAAAATTCGGACGGAAGACCTACTCGTTGTTCGCAACGAGATCGTTTCTAGTAACTTCTATTTTTATGTTTTATCTTTTAACCCTATGAATCTGTTCAGATTGAGAATTATTCAGAGTGCTGTACTGTATATATTCATCTTGAAGGAAAGAATAATAAAAAACAATATGTTATGATATTATATTTCATGTGATGAATGAATGATTACGTTTGTAATTACTTGCTTTGCAGATTTAAATGTATTTAATTTATATTTTAGACTCAATCAATCAAGATGCAATTAACATGTGAACTCTCATATTGTCTTTATTCTTATTTGACATGTAGGAGTAACAATCTGTTTCAAGATCCGATATTTACATGTTTTGGCCACTCGAGCTCATAGTCTCACAATGGAGACGATATTTGGAATTCCACACTCATAATTATTATATCATTTATATTGCGTTGTAAACGCGCTCTTAAAGGTTCCAACTTTTCAACATACAGACAGGTAAAATGTAAATAATAAATTAAAGATTTTTCACCTGTTAGTAATTAATTTAAAATATTTGTGTACTCTGAACATTGTAAATGACGTGAAGGTTTCCAATGCAGCATACGGCGAGTGAAAAATAAAAAGGTAACAATTTTTGGTGTGATAGAACCATTATCAAAGAATTTTGTATCCTGGAAACGGTGATTTTCACTAAATCCACGAAAAGTGATGCTCATCAATATTGATGAAGCCACAGTATATATTCATTACAAATTGTTGAATATAGTATACACCCAGATTGATGACTATGGAATACGTATGGAAGAGATCGAATGTTGTTACTAAAAGACTTAAGCACCTTTACGTCGATAAAAAAATAAATATATATTGCAACAATGGTTTTCTTAAAATTTTATCTAAATGTCATAACTTCTAAAGGTTTGCAGAGAACAATTCAAATAATTTAAGTTTTTACTTACACTTGGTCAAAAGACTTCATATGGGGATCAGTGAGAGAGGTGCAGGAAGGTAGAGTATTTGACTTTTCATCGATGCCTTTTACCTTTTATAATCCAATTACATACAATGATAATACTAATGGTGTAAGGACTGTCAAAAACTGCGCATCTCTTTTGAACATTAAATTCATTGTATATTCTATTTTTTGATATCTTACCGTAACGTCTTGCAGATATACTTCGTTAAAGAACTGGCTTCCATTGCCATTGACATTTCCAGTTTTTAGACGAAGAATGACTTCACTTGGTGGAAAACTGTATTGGATACTTTTCTTAACTACGACTTCAAACTCGACAGTTTTATTCCAGTCATTGTGCTTCCCATCATTATCAAAACGTTGGGTAAAATCTAAGCTTGGAATTCTTTGCTCACATTTATAATAATTTTTAGACTTTCCTTGGCACTCACATGAAGACTCCTCAGTGCAATTAATAGCAGGATCTGACAAATATATACTTAGATATCTGCCTAAATTCACCCCGCCCCTTACATGTACGAGGAAGTTATCAGCAAAGGGAATGTTTGGTTTAAGCTTTATTGTTGTACCATTTTCTGTGGATATACTGACGTCTGGAGTAAGAACCTATCAATGATAAAAAAAAAGAGTTTCAGTGGCTCAAAATCTTATTTGATTATGTTTTCTTGATATTTTTTAAGTTATAATTTTTCAAATAACTGATTTATAATTAATTATACACTACACGATGCCATATACACATAAATTCGAAAATCTTGCCTTATTCTATCTGGCTTTACAATCTTAATAATAATAATAATAATACTTTATTTAGAGAAGGTAACCCGATTAGTGCGAGCACTAGTCTTCCTTGGGGCCTTCTTTAAAACACATATATACAATGCATATATACAATAAATAGAATTACAATTATGAGACAATAAAAGTCAAGTGTATGTTACAAAGTAATAAAACATCAACATTTCAATATAGAGAGAGAGAAGAGCAAAAAATCATATAGAATCATTGCGTTTCATCAGCATTTCTTTTAAATATTGCCAGGGATTGGGACTTCCTCAATATAATTGGTAACTCATTCCAGATAATAACCCCTGAATATTGTAAAGAATTTTTAAATAAGTTAGTTTTATATTTTGGTAATCTAAGTTCTGAATTTGTTTCTGAGCGTAACGTGTATGATCCAGAACTTTGAAATTCAAAAAGATTATGCATATAATCGGGAGACATACCATTAAATATTTTGAACATTAGAATGCTTTTCTGTAAATATAAAAGTTCATAAACAGTTAGCCAACCTAAAGTGTTAAATAAAGACATTGAAGGTGTATCGAATTTTTCATTTAAAATAATCCTGGCTGCTCGTTTTTGTAATCTGTAGATTCTATCCATATGCGTTTGAGGACAATTGCCCCAAATGGATAGTCAATATAAAATTGATGGTTTAATAAAAGCATTATAAAATAGTTTTCTAGTATGCACTGGAAGAAACCTTTTCATTTTTCGTAAAGTAAATAACTTGTATGTAAGAGTTTTGCAAACTGCATCTACATGACAAGTATATGGAAGATTATGATCACCTAATAATTTTTGCATCTCGATGTTTTATAGGGGCTGGCCGGAAAGTTGCAGATGAAAATTAACGTTTTCTAATTATGTTCCCCAAACGAAGTTGGGGAACATATTGTTTGTACTCTGTTTCTTATTATGTCGCCCCGAACGAAGTCGGGGACAAGGACGATCACTTGTTGTAGTTGTGCAGTGAGGTCGTTCAGTTCCAATTTGTCTACCGTTGCCATGGAAACCTGTAAAAAGCGACGAATTTTGTCCGCGAGTGTTCTCTCTGGTCAAAAAAAGGTTAAGATGTACACCTGTGTTCTCCAAGGTCTAGGTCAAAGGGTCAAATTTCTTCGTGTCCAATAAAAGTTCTTTTCACAAGGATTACATATTTGAAATACGAAAGCCCTAGCCCTTCCCGTTCAAACGTAAGGTACCATGTTCAAGACGACCCCCCCCCTTTTTGAAGCGCACTGCCAGGTAGAATACACAGATATAACATATACAACTTACAAGTAACGTTTTAAAAGTTTCATTCCTAAAATTAAGTTCTCCTGATGTGATTTGATAGTTTGCCAACATTCATTCTTCTTCTGTCTTGTCTCTAGATTTTATAATTATTTTATTTTATCTATATAAAAAAATAACGATTGTCAGCTGCATTTATTAGCATTTCGCGTTTTTTTTTTTGTATATCTATTACTTGTATATATTTTTAATTTCATTAGATAGTGCAAGTATAAATTAGAAAATTGGTACGTTATTTCCATAGTTTTTATTCATTCATAAATACTGGGATCCGCTCCTACAGGTGCGCGAAGCCTTGATCACTACTGTAAACAAACCATTCATCTCGCCGAAAATGTTCATGATTCCGCTAAACTGAGAAAGTTTACACATGATTTATCATCTCATAAGAAACATCAGCCCTGTGCAATGCAGAAATGCTCGAATTGAAGGGGAAAATTCAGGAGTTATTAATAGGAAAAAGTAGGAGTTATTATGTCGCCCCGAACGAAGTCGGGACGACATTATTGATATTGTACGCATGTTTTTTTTATCCAGGCTGTTTCTCGGAGATGGCTGGGTCAAGCTTCCTGAATCTTTCCTCAAAGGACGATCGCTGGTTGTAGTTGTGCAGTGAGGTCGTTCAGTTCCAATATGTCTACCGTTGCCATGGAAACCTGTAAAAAGCGACGAATTTTGTCCGCGAGTGTTCTCTCTGGTCCCTTAAACGTTCGTCATGAAACTTTTTTTATTTTAATGAATAGTATCTGTAGTTGTGCGATTTGCATTTAAAATTTTCAAATAATCGATTAGTGCCATGGAAACCAGGGGAATGTTAAAATTCTTTAATTTCGATTTTCTCAATAACTACTCAAGCAATCGTTTTGAAACTTTCAATCTTAATTCCTTGCAATGTGTCAAAGTGATTTCTACTTTTAAAATAATTGTAACGAGTCGCTCACAGTTGTCATAGAAACGAAACAGAAAAAAAGGTTAAATATGTACACTGATCTTTGTGTTCTGCGCGCGCGCGCGCGCGCGCGCGCGCGCGCGCGCGCGCGCGCGCGCGCGCGCGCGCGCGCGCGCGCGCGCGCGCGCGCGCGCGCGCGCGCGCGCGCGCGCGCGCGCGCGCGCGCGCGCGCGCGCGCGCGCGCGCGCGCGCGCGCGCGCGCGCGCGCGCGCGCGCGCGCGCGCGCGCGCGCGCCGCGCGCGCGCGCGCGCGCGCGCGCGCGCGCGCGCGCGCGCGCGCGCGCGCGCGCGCGCGCGCGCGCGCGAAATACGAAAGCCCTAGCCCTTACCGTTCAAACGTAGGTATGCCATGTTCAAAACGACCCCCCCCCCCCTTTTGAAGCGCACTGCCAGGTAGAATACACAGATATAACATATACAACTTACAAGTAACGTTTTAAAAGTTTCATTCATAAAATTAAGTTCTCCTGATGTGATTTGATAGTTTGCCAACATTCATTCTTCTTCTGTCTTGTCTCTAGATTTTATAATTATTTTATTTTATCTATATCACAAAAAAATAACGATTGTCAGCTGCATTTATTAGCATTTCGCGTTTTTTTGTATATCTATTGCTTGTATATTATTAATTTCATTAGATAGTGCAAGTATAAATTAGAAAATTGGTACGTTATTTCCATAGTTTTTATTCATTCATAAATACTGGGATCCGCTCCTACAGGTGCGCAAAGCCTTGATCACTACTGTAAACAAAACATTCATCTCGCCGAAAATGTTCATGATTCCGCTAAACTGAGAAAGTTTACACATGATTTATCATCTCTTAAGAAACATCAGCCCGTGCAATGCAGAAATGCTCGAATTGAAGGTGGCATGTCAGATTCTTTTTCCTGCAGAACCTCTAAAAATGAAAGTGAAAGTAGGGAAATTTCAGAGTTCTCACTAGCGTTATAATACACAAAATAATTCGGCTGATCTTCTTAATAAATTACATTTGCCAAGCCTTTTTGGTAGGAAAGATACTGCCAATTAACAAGTATGAGGCTCAGTTCAGTACATCTGCCCAATTTCTTTTATGCAAGTCTGCAAATTTAGGAACTTGTAATTTTTTCCTATATGACTTTCTTCTCCTACCCATTCTAAAAGTAATTAGTGCGTTACCCAATTAAAGGTCTTCCGTTTCCAACGGAAAGGACTGATACGACTCGATGGTTGTCCAAGCTTAGCTAATGGACCATTCTTTTAGTGATGATAAAAATGAAAGCCTTATCCAGTACGGGGCGACATATGCTATTGCTTGCAATAGCAGACTTTCTAGTTATTAAAGGTCTTCCGTCTTCAGCGGAAGACCTTCTTGTTATTCTAAGGTTTCTTTATAAGGTCTTCCGTCTTCAGCGGAAAGACCTTCTTGTTATTCTTAGGTTTCTTTTTCCACTTTTATTTTAAGGTCTTCCGTCTTCAGCGGAAGACCTTCTTGTTATTCTTAGGTTTCTTTTTCACTTTTATTATTATTATTATTATCTTTTTTTTCTTACCGATTTTGTGCAAGCGATTTCTCGGAAACGGCTCGATGGATTTCCCTGAAACTTTCAGGACTAATGTAACATTACTTGAACCTTATGCATTTTTTTTCGATTTGATGACGTCACTTCCGGTTTGGAGATATTGTCGATTTTGCGATTTTTGAAGGGTCAGGTTGTCCGCGAACGTTCTCAGAAATGGCTATAGATAGAAACGTGAAATTTTCAGGTATGATAGTCTTAAATCTGTAGATATGTGAAAATGATTTCATTTTTTTGGAAGTGCCGCACGTCGGCGCTGGCTATGGCTCAAAAATTGTCCTTTTGCAAATTTCAAAATTTTTGACACCTTTTCTACGATATCTTTTTACCTGGAAATATTTTGTTAAAACATATAGAACAAAAGAAGTGTAGAATCCCAAGATCTTTTAAATGATACCTCGAAAAAAGGGCTGGCCCCTAAAATTAAGGGCCTAGAGGGGTCGAACGTTTTTCCTTTCTATATCAAAAAGCATAGAGAATTTGTAATACATCAAAGAAGCAAAGTTGTTCATAATGTCAAGCTCAATTTACTGAGGGAGTCAAAATACGTCCGGCGTCGTCACTTCCGGCCAAACCGGAAGTAGTCATAAAACACGTTTTTTTGCCGTTCTCGACAAGTTTTTGGGTCACATATGTCTCTGGGAGCATAAAAAGTATTTTTTCCGTCCGTCGTCGTCACTTCCGGTCAAACCGGAAGTAGCAAAAATGGCTTATTTTTAAGGTTTTGATGCAAAATTGAAATTATAGAGTCACTGAAGACTTCTTATCTCATTGCTTTCTTTTGTTCCGTCACTTCCGGCACTTCCGGTCAAAACCGGACGGAAGACCTACTCGTTGCTTTGCAACGAGCTTTGCTCTAGTTATTATTGTTTTTCTTTACCCATTTTTTTGCACTATTTCTCGAAATGGCTCGATGGATTTCCATGAAACTTTCAGGACTTATGTAACATCACTTGAACCTTATGCGTTTTTTTTCTGTTTTGATGACGTCACTTCCGGTCCGGAGGTATAAGC